TATATTGATTTTTATTTTTTGTTACTTACTTTTAATAAAAATAATAATTTATTTTGTATAAAATTGATAATACATTTATTAAAATTTAATAAAAATTTACTAAAAATGAATTTACTTTAAAATTAACGTGTATATTTTGTTTCACATCACTTGTGAATCTAAGAGTAGTCTTTATCATCCCAGGCTATCGAGCTTAATTTTTAGCTAGCCTATTCATGTCATTGGACAATCAATTTCGAGCTAATTGGACTTCTTTTATATTATTTTTTTATCATGTAAGAATAGTAAACACAAAGAAATGAACAACGGAACAAACAATTATCAAACAATTGTAAAATGGGGGACTTAGACTTTGACCACTTTTGTATAAATGTTATAGAGTTTCCTAAGATAGAGGCCATGCAATGTCTCAACAAGGGAACTGAGAGACACTAATAAGTGCCAATGCCCCTCTGAATTAAGCTTTAAGCTTCACTCCCATGGTGACTCAAACCAATTAAAGCAATTCATCGAATACGATGTGTTCACATCTCCTTCCAACTCTCTTTTCTAAAAGCAAAGTTGGACTAGTGAGATGTGTGTCTATGATGTTGTTCCATTCTCATAATGACAACACCTTATCCATGTAAATCTTGCACAATTGGGCCAAATTATGCAAGAGTCCATATAAATCACCAAGCTCACAACTAGAACCATCATTGAGTCATTACGCTATTTAACATTGCAATTCAAATGACATAGCATCCATAACAAAAGAGTTCAATAACAATGGAAAACACAATCTTGAATTTGAAACCAAAATGAATTACAAGTTGAAAATGAAGTTCATTTCTTCATCAAAGTTAGAGAGAGCTAAAAATGAAAAGTGATCTAAAGCAAAGAAACCAACTCAGCGAATTCTTGACACATGGTCATAGTTTACCTCCCGATTGTGAGAGTAACCTTCCCAGAGCATTTTCTGATTCCAAGGCTCCCGCTGAGGCGCTGACACTCGCAACCGTCTGCGTCAGCGTGAGGCCGGGAGTCAAAAAGTTCTTTGGGATGGTCACAGTCGCCCTCCCGGCCATGACCTCGACCGGGAACATCCCTGACATTCACCTAAGCTCCTATTCCACTCCTTGACTTGGTTCGTACACTTATGCCCCTCGTTTTGTGCTTCCATAATTGACTCATTCTCATTTGCAAATTGCCTCCATTGCCCGTTGCGCATTCACACCATCTTCTTTACCAACAATAAAAAATACTTCAATTAGGAGCGATTTTCATCTCAATGACCTTAAGTTCCAGGCAAAATGCAAATTGAGATTAAATGAGGTGCACTACTAAGCCAAATTATAGCTTATCATCACCTTGATGCTGTTACCTAATCTGCAGCATCATGAATTCCCAACACATAGATTCTCCTAAATATCATCACCTTCCTGCAGTAAACCCTCTGGAAGAAAAAAAAAGTTATGCTTTAGTCCTAATGAATATTATCATGCCTGGTAATGTTATATGCGATTGGAAACTCAAATATCGTTTCCTAGAATGATATCTATAAGTCCCTCTTGAAAATATAATAAATATATCTTTCAGTACGTTAATTGCCGTCCAAATATCTCAAGATAGATAAAAGACTATCTATATAATGAGGATATTTTTGGGGACCAGAAGTCCATTACTTCATCGCTAAGTAGATATATTTGAATGATAGTAGACAATGATAAACTCTAATAACAATCATGAAAATTTTACCATATCCCTTCTCTACACATTTTGAAACAATGACTTTATTTTCAGCCACGTAGAACTTGAAGATTGTATCTTCAGGGGGAGACGGGAAGTACATTCACTCGAATCAATCCTGTAGATTGGGTATTAAAAGACTAACAATTGTACTTTTACAACGTATACATACCATGTACTCTTTTCCTCGATCACTAGCCTTTTCCCATTGGGTTTTTACTAGTGTGGTTCTTAACAAGACATAAGTATGATATAGTAATGTATGATGGAAAAATAGCATTAAAATGATATTTTGAGTATTATTTTGTGGTACAAATATATGTGGGATCCACTTCCGATTTGGGTCGGGTCAAGGTGGATTCGGGTTCTTCGTAGTGAGACGAAGAATTTGATATAATGTACGCTCAAAATTGGTAATAGGTGAATGAGAAATTGATTCTCAAAGTGAACCTATTTAGGAGAAGTCCAAAGTACGAAAGCTTAATAAATGGGAATTAAGTTTTAGCCCAATTCGTGCCCCTGCTTTCGGCCCTGTACGAAAGTTAGCTTAAGTGCAGTTATGTTAATTAAGCTTAAGAGCTTAATTAAGCTTTGAAAGTTTCATGGACGAAAGTTGCAATATGCATGGATGAAAGTTGCATGAACTTCAAAGCTTAACTTTCATGCTCCTATCGTGGCAGCAGCACGAGTCAATGCTTTATGCATTGATTCGTGCTGCACCGTTTCGGTGCTTGCGGACCACTCGGGTGTGTTTTTTGTCCCAATTTATTAGACTTTCGGGTTTGTACGGACTTCTCGATCACTCAGATATTTTTGAAACTGGTCGTTATGGTCAGTACGAATTAATCGGATATTAAGTTCGTGACCGTTGATATTATTTCGATAATAAGTACGACCGTTTTAAACGTTATAATTTAATTTTTAAATTGAATTTATGTTGGTTAATGTGTCATGATGATGCTATTAAGTGCCAACCTCCTATATAAGAGTGTAGTGGGAGTAGAGGTCTTTTAACTGCATAGTGAGAGACAACAAGAGAGGGAAGAACGAGAGTGACACAACACACAAAGATAAGCACTTTTTCTTCTCAAAAACTCTGCTCCTACTCCTTTTCTTGCTACTATGTTTTGCCCGTGCTCTAGTTTGCCGGGTTCGTTCGTTTGGGTATTCAAACGTCGAACCGCTGTACGTTTTATCCTGGGAAACCTAGGCCACAACGCTCCTAGCACTTTTGGGAGGTGGCAAATAAGGTTTTAAGGAAAGACAGGCACTTTGCCTAACTCGTACATTTCTTTCTTCCTCTCCTTCTTTCTTGTTTTGGATTATGCTTTTAAGCAAAAATCAGTTCTTTGTTGTTGATTTGGAATTATAATCTAAGGATTATATTTTCTTTTTGGTTGATATATATTGGTATATCTTTTTCGTAGATATACATGTATATATAACCGTAGGGTCCATTTTATATATATTTTGTGTGTATATATATATTTCGGATATATATCCAATAATATTTTATATATATTTCGTGTGTATATATATAAATATTATTTTACGGATATTAAATCGATTGTGGTTCATTATCACCAACAATGTCAATGGGGGAAACTTGGAAATAAATAGACAAGACCTCGAAAATCCTGAATATTATGCCTTGAAGGCTTATAGTTGTACTCTTTTTCCCTTAACTATGTTTTTTCCCACGGGGTTTTCTTAAGTTAAAGGTTCTTAATGAGGAAATCAATACTATATATGATTTTTACGAATATCATGTACTCTTTTCTTCAACTATGTTTTTTCCCACGTGGTTTTCCTAGTGAAGTTTTTAACGAGACATGAATGTATTCAAATATTATAGGTTTTTCCCACAGGGTTTTCCTAACAAGTTTTTAATGAGGCAAGGTCATGGTCAAATAATGCCCAAGGGGGAGTGTTATAAATATATTTAGTTTGACCATTATTAGTATTGATTGTGTAACGGTTAGGTGATTAATGACTACATTATGTCTTCCATTATATTTGTATATATATATATATATATATATATATATATATATATATATATATATATATATATATATATATATATATATAGGCTCCGGATCCCATGAGGTCACTTAGATGGATGAGATCATGAGATCTCATCTCATCCATTAAATCATTATAAATAGAAGGGTGAGATTGAAAGAGATTTGTTATGCATTTATGATGGTAGTTTATGCACAAGGGTAAATAAGTAATTGTAATATTGGAGCTATTTTTGGTTACAAATAAATTGGAATATATTCCATGTGAAGGGTCATGTGATTAGCTGAGTATCTTGAATAATAACGGTAATAAATATTCTTAATAATGGGGTGAGAGGTGTAGTAAAGCAGTCGCATAGCAGACACCTACTGAAGGCGTTATTTCTCCCGGCCACGTTAATGTCGAATTCGGATAGAGGTGTGTGCAACCGTACTAGTTTTGCATTGTAAGATGTTATTACGTCTGTGCATGTATTATGATGAGCGTGTGCATTTTGAAGTCATGGTGGGTGCAGTTTATGGCGTGTGTTTAGTGAGACATGTGGATGGAGTTTCGTTGAATTAGACTTACGTTAGATAATGAGCAAGTTACTTTCTGGGCATGTGCAAGTTTCTTTTTTAAGTATGTGCAAGTTTGTTTTTAACGATTGTGCAAGTTAGTTCCTGGGCCTGTGCAAGTTTCATTTTAAAGTATGTGCCAGTTTGTTTCTAAAGACTGTGCAAGGTAGTTCCTGGCGAGTGTGCAAGTTTGTTTCTTAGCATGTGCTAGTTGCGACGTAGAGGAAGTAAATGGCCGTGTGTTTAATATCCAGACATTATGTAGGGAACTGAAATATAATGAAAGCTAGAGCATGTATTCCGAGGTTGCGAATGTAACATATTAACATGATTCGGTGTTAGGGGAGACAGTATATAAACAAATTGTATTAATAAACTAGACAAAGATTAATGAGTGTGTTCCTCCTACTGCTTCAGTGTCATCTACAGGATTTTCAAACCTCAACCTCAAGGGCAGTATGTTCCTGCCTTTGGGCTTCTGTTTCATTCGTGTTAACATCTAATTGCATTGTATCCTCACCAACTATTGTACTGCAGCATTTGTTTAAATCTATACTCCTGTCACCATTTATAGCAGCAGGGCTTTCAGTCTCGACCCCAGTTTCTGTTCCTACAAGGTCAATATTAGCACCAGATTCATGGATTTGTCCAGTTCCCACAGTATCTCCCTCTATCACAGGTACTGTCTCGACCCCATTGATGTCAGAACCAAAGGCACCCTAACACCGTTCCGTGCTCGTAAATTCCACCTCCTGGGTGTCTTGCCCTTCTTCTTGGCTTCTCACATTGCATTCATGTTTCTCTGTCACACTAGCATCACTTGATGTCCCAACTGCATATCTCACATGTTTATGGGTGGAATCACTCAAACCAGCCTTACTACCACCATTGATGCAACGTCCTAGCTCTCTCTCCCCAACTAGTGATCTCTTAACATTGCAATTGTTTGGTTCAAGCTCCACTTCCACTGATGTGTTCTCATAATTCTCCTCATCTTCTAAGGTCCTTTGCATCGATCTTAACTGCTCCTGCTGCTTTCCAAACAAAATTGAGATCTGCTCAGTAGTGAAAAAAAAAAAAAAAAAAAAAAACCAACCCCGGAAAACGCAGATTACAGAAGGGCAGAAAAAAAAAAAAAAAAAAAAAAAAAAAAAAAAAACACGAAAAAATCCGGACAAAACCCTAATACCTGGAAAAAACCCAATCACCCCACCCCCCGGTCTCTGAACTACCTCAACCCGAACCCCCGCCGGCGTTACTTCCGTCCATGTCTACATGCAATACCAATACTAAACACATAAACGAAACAAAGCACAATAATACCTGGAATGCAGCTGGAATACCCCCCCCCCCCCCCTCTTTGACGCTTGGACTGCCGATTGGAAGACCCCGCCATGACAAACGCAACTACTGACGAGAGAAGAGGACACCGTAGACGCCGTAAACGGACGGAGAAGAACACCGGACGCCGAAGAGACGCGAAGCCGAGAACCCTAAGAGAAAGCTAAAAACCCTTATCGGAGGAAGAATCCATACGGAAGGAGAGAAGAATACGAATAGACCGCAAATGAAGTCTTCAAAAAGGTACACCACGATTTCGCCCCATAATTAACCTGCACAAGCCCACAAAATCTGCTAATAAATTAATACAACCTAATAAAGACCTCACCAAAAAGACATTAAAATCCCTAAATGTACACCCACATCAGCTCACACGCACAAGATGAAGATTAAATCTAAAACGTTAAAATATGCCAACCAACGTACAAGATTAAGCCTCACCACCTCGCCTGCCAAAGGTAACCTCACCGGATCCAAAATCTATATCTATATATATATATATATATATATATATATATATATATATATATATATATATATATATATATATGTTGGGGTTGTATGGAGAATACAAATGAATTAATAAGATGAGCGGTTGACTGCTGGAGACGGTCCACAGCTCATGCCCAAGAAGCTCTCTCCTAACGGCATGATAACTAAACAAAGATGGATTAATTGTATTATTTTATTGACTTAAGGGGGGCGAGTTGACTATTTTTATTTAAAAAAAAAAAATCAAATGCCACGTGAACTAATAAATTGCACATATTTTGTACTCCACGGTCCATATAAATTGCGACCAGGTGGCATTTAATAATAAAATATTCAAACCCCACATAAATTGCACACCTTTTGCATACCACAATTCACATAAAATGTACCCATTTTATACTCCAAAGGTGGCGCAAACCTGATTTCCTTCATCAGAGAGACGAGCTAAGTAACCTCTGCAGAGACATCAGCCAATCCTTTGTATTCAGCCACAGTACGCTATTTTCGACAAACCCATGAGACAAGATTGGTCCCCAAAAACACAGCAAAACCCACTAGTAGATTTGCGATCATCAGGATTGCCAACCCAATCCGAATCAGAATATGCATGAATATCCAGAGAAGGAGAAGAAGCAATCTTAAGACCAAGATGTAGTGTCCCATTTACATACTGTAACACCCTCCAGAGAGCCGCCCAATCCGCAGTAGAGGGAGAGTGCATGTGCTGACACAAACGATTGATTGCATAGAAAAGATCAGGCCAAGTTACAGTAAGATATTGCAGAACACCTGCAAAGCTGCGATACTGAGTGGGATCAGCGTATGGTACCATGAAATCAGTCTCGGCCTTCGTGGTTGAAACCGGAGTGGCCACGGGCTTGCAATCAACCATACCTGCTCGTTTTAGAATATCCTTCATGTACCGTTGTTGAGATAGAAGCATGCCATCAGACAACGGAACGGTCTCAATACCCAGAAAAAACGAGGGCACCCCCATATCACGAACTTTAAACTCAAGAGCCAACTTGTCAATAAGAGCAGTCACATGAGCCGAATCAGAACCCATAACCAAAATATCATCCACATAAACCAGAAAATATAGATGAGTATTGCCATGTGAATATATAAATAAAGAGACATCCGTCTTGGAAGGTGAGAAAACACCAGAAACCAAAAAATCATGCAAACGAGTGAACCAAGCACGGGGAGCTTGCTTAAGCCCATATAAAGAACGTTGAAGGAGACAAACGTGCCCGGGCATCATTTTGTCTTCATAGCCATCAGGCTTGTGCATATAAACCGTCTCAACGAGATTGCCATTTAGGAAAGCATTGTGTATGTCCAACTGTCGAATAGTCCATCCACGAGAAATAGCTAAGTATAAAAGAAGACGTACCGTAGTCAGTTTAGCCACGGGACTAAAGGTCTCAAAGAAATCCTCACCAGCAACCTGATTTAATCCCTTGGCAACCAAACGAGCCTTGTAACGCTCAATCGAACCAACAGCTTTCCTCTTGGTTCTAAACACCCACTTACAGCAAACCACATTCATACTTGATTTAAAAGGAACAAGCCTCCATGTATTGTTGTGCACCAAGGCATTAAATTCCAAATCCACTGCATCCCGCCATTTGGGAAATTCGACCGCTTGAGTAAAACATGTAGGCTCAATAGTGACGTTAGTAGATAAAGTAACATGATCATGTGGTCCCGAGCTCCGCATATTCATCGTATGAGACGGAACGGGTGAGGGCGAGGGCGCGGGACGAGATCGACCACGGGGTCGGCCCCTCGGCCGAGCAGGTGGCTGGTTTGTGACTGTCCGTTCGAACTCGGTCACGAACGGCTCGGCAGAAACGGGCTGCTGGCGGTGTGGCGGTAGAAACGGGTTGCTGGAGGATCAAAGGCTGAGACAGCACTCGGCTCACCAGGAGACACAACAGGCGCAACACCCCATGGCTCTGGGCGTGGTGCGGGTACTTGTGAATCAACAGAAGCAACATACGGAATGACAGTCTCATCGAATCGCACATGGCGACAGATAAAAACCTTGTTAGTGTTAGTGTCTAAAAAACGATAGCCACGAAAAGACGGAGGATATCCTAGAAAGACACAAGGAGATGACCGAAACTGCAGTTTGTTGCGATTATAGGGCCGCAGATTCGGAAAACATAGACACCCAAAAACCCGTAAGTATGAGTAAGAGGGCAGAGACCGATGCAAGGGGTAGTGAGGAGACTTATCAGACAAGACACGAGTGGGCATTTTATTGATAAGATACACAGCAGTTTCGAAGGCATAATTTCAGAAACGAGACGGAACAGAGGATTGGGCCTTTAGCGCTAGTCCCGTTTCGACAACATGGTGATGCTTGCGTTCTACTCTGCCATTTTGTTCATGAGTATCCACAAATAATACAAATATTTAAAGCCATTTGCAGAAAGAATCGGCACAAGGCCCCAAATATCTGAATATATTAATTCTAAATGATGCGAACTAGTAAATTCAACACGCGATAAAGGAAAACAAGACGACTTGCCTAATTGACAAGAGGAACAAATATTAGGCAAATCACTGGAATTAAACGAACAAAGACTAGAAGAGGCTAAAACTTGACGCAGGACCCGGGAGTGTGGATGCCCAAGCCGCATATGCCAAACGAAAGAGGACCGTGTAGCAACGAAAGCAGCGGGAACCAGACGCGAGGCAGGCCAGACATATAAACCCCCGGACGCATGCCCCTTAAAAAGAGTGTTCCTGGTTTGAATGTCCTTCACAAAGAAACACGAAGGGTGAAACTCAAAAAAGACATTATTTTCTTTAGCAAAACGCTGAACAGATAATAACGAAGAAGATAAACCAGGAACATGTAAAACATCAGACATACGAAGCGGTGTAGAATTAGTGGCTAACGAAGTAGAACCAATAGTAACAATAGGCAAACCTATACCATTGCCGACCCGAAGTGTCTCCGGACCATCATATGTAGTAGAAGACGTCAATAAGGTGGGATCAGGGGTAGCATGATTTGTGGCACCAGTGTCATGGAACCACTGATGAGAGTCGTCCATAGGACCATCCACACCAGAAAAGACAACATTTGCCTGAGGATCTGGATCAGGAGTGAAATGATGCCAACATGCCGTAGCTATATGCCCTTGCTTGTTGCAAATCTAACACCGATGGCCCGAGTTGGACCGCCTCCGGCCACGAGCGCGTGCCCGCCACCACCTCGGTTTTGCAGATTGCCACCGTGACCACCACGGCTTACGGCCAAGGCTGCCGGTGCACCGAGAGCAGCGCCGTCGTCCGAACAAATCCACTCCTGCGAAACAAGAAAATCCGCAACCTCCGGGAGGGGAACAGGTGCACTACGGCCTACGGTTTCCACCAACGGTAGGAACTCCGGGCGTAAACTGCGAAACACATATAAATTTTGATCATCCAACTCAACATGACGACCGGCGAGGGCCAATTGATCAATCCACATCTGGGCACGACCAAGGTAATCAGATATTGAGGAATCACATTGACGGAGCCCCTGAAGTTCGCCGAGTAGTCGGAGTGCACGAGAGCGGGTAGACGAACCTAGGGTTTGTTCGATTACCTGCCAAAGCTGCCGAGAGGTGCCTTTGCCGATGGCAAAACGAAGAGTCTCCTCAGACAAAGAGGAGATGAGCATCGAGAGGATGGCCTTGTCTTGCCGATGCCAAGCGAGCTGCCGGGCGGGGAGATCGGAGACCGCCACTGAGGCGCTGTCCGCGGTCGACGTTAGGGCCGGCGATGCCGTCGAAAAGGGTGTTGTACCATCAACAAACCTTAGAAGCCCTTGGCCTTCAAGAAACGGAAGCATCTGAGTTCGCCAGAA